TTTATATTTCTGACAGAAACAATTCTTTTACGTTTTCTTCTGAAAATGCATATTTATGCCGATATCTGCTATTAAAGATCTTTTGAAGAAGTGGGAGGATGTCAGAACAACGGTCTTAAAATGGCATTCAAACCAGGTTAAGGTTAATAGGCCTAGGGATCACTACAATTACAATGCTATTAATTAATTCTGAAAAATCATGAAGAAGACAGAAAAGCAATCGACATTGGACAGATTCTTTAACCCCACAAACGGAAAAAACATGACTAATGAAAATACAAGACCGTGTATTTTGTATATGTATTTTTATTATTACATATGAATAAACGTAGTAAGAAAGTATATATTTTTTATTTTTGGGGAGTCTCCAGAACGAATCAATCAAATTCCCATAGAAACCTATGGTAAATCGATAATCGGTTAACGAACAATTCGGATAGCGAACAAAGTCTTGGAACGGATTATGTTCGTTAACCGATCACCCACTGTAATTGAGACTACATGTAAGAATTGCTTTATTATTAGTTTTTTCCATTAAAGTAGTTTTTAATGTTTGAATGATTTGGAGATGGATGAATGAAATTTTAAGCTATTTCTTAATCCATTTTCAACTGTTGCATACATCTTATAAGATACATGCAAATAGGTAAGGATTAGTAATTTGGTGATACTGGTAATGTAATGATGATGATTCCACAAAGAATTGCCAGATTACTATTAAAGATAGCAAGCTAGGGTTATAACACAATCTACTGGAGAAATAAGGTGTCTTACAAATGTATTGTTCTTGTAGAAGAGTACGAGATGAGAATCTCAGACAGTTCCCAATTTACAAGAGTGTTTCTCTGATAGTTCTAGGTGGAGTTGTTTATCCTGGAGTATTATTGTTGGATGTTCTTGGTGAGATATAAATCCTTTCACCACAGGCGTTGAGGGCAACATGAACGAGGCACTTCTGTAAGGCACTACACAACAGTAGATCAGGGAGAGAAGCTTCCTGTGTCCTTGCAACACGAATTTTCATCAGTTTTGGATCTCAGGTCAACCACTTCAATTGGTTTTTTTTATTTTCATCTCCACTGTCTAATTGGTCATCACTTGTTACTAAGGTCATGGAATGAGTCAAAATTGACTGTCAATTCGATCCCAATTGGAGACAGTTGTTCTTAAGACTTACATTGTCTATTTTTCTTTTGTTTAAATTCTGAAAACAATTCTTTTTTCCCCCTTCTATCAAATCGAATATATCTTTTTATGGTCATAAAAATTTTCTTATCTTAATATAAATATATTTATTTTATTATTTTCTTTTAAATTTTATTTCTGAAGCAAGTCTTACAGCAGCAAGTTAGGATTTTCACCACAAATGATGGAAAAAGAAATATTCTAAATTTTTGGCTTTTATTGTGGTGTGAGAATCCAGGGTTAATAATTTAATTTGTTAGCAAATTAACAAAACTTTAATTTTTATTAGATAAATTTTTGCTTGTTTTTGTAAAAATGCATGAAGTTTTAACAGAACTTCTGTTCAGTTGGAGAAAGATAACATAGTTCCTTCAAAACCAATAGTTTAGTGCTGAATTTCTATGTCCTATCTGCAAAGCCACCCAACTTCTGTCCACACGTCAGAAGAGTGGAGGGCTTATTTTGATTCTTTTGATTAGAGGAGATTTTTAAAAAGGACAGGTCACCTCCAAATGACAGCTTAGCTCACAGCTAGCCTACGAAAACTGTAACCTTAGTGTTTTTGTCCTCCCACAAAGTAAGTTGAGCTCATTCATTCACTCTCCAGAATGAACTAAAGATTCCCATCATTTCTCATCTGTCAATTTAATAGAAATAATTTGTCTTAAAATGTGAAGAGGCCTACAGATGAAAAGAAACTGTTCATCATCTAAGACAGGGGTCACCAAACTTTTTTCACAGCGAGCCAGATAACCAAGAGAATGACAAGTGCGGACTGCATAACCATTTTGTTCAATACTATACACTGAATACACAAAAAATAAAGACAACTAACATATGTATTTACCAATACACAAATACAATTGTTGCAGCAAACTTGTAATTGCTTTTCTTAAAAACTTCATTGCAGGTACTAACACAAAAAGTGTTCTGATATCCAAAGTTGCAAAATGTCGTGGAATTTTTTATATTGCTGATTTTCCTAAAAATTATATTACTGTCAGATGCAAAAATCAGATTGGACCAATTTTGGCATTTTTAGTTACACTTTATTTATTTATTTTTTACATAGTAAGTTCATCTACAAACTATGATATTTCCATATAAATAATTATATTTTACCTCATTTCTGGCACAGTGCTGCCTGTGGCGAGATGGATGAACTAACCTTGCGGGCCATAGTTTGGTGACTCCTGATCTAAGGTAATATGCATTGTAAACTCTCTCCATAGAAGACATTAAGACTAGATTAGTGGGTCGAATATTTAAATTCCTTCTCATAAGAGGAGATTTGTAATCTGATAGAAACTTTAATATCTAATCATTTTATATCAACTTCAATTTTTATGTTCCATTTTAAATGCATATAAGGATATTGTTTAAAATATATTTATTAATTAAAAATTAATCAGTTGAGTTAATTGACTGTCATTTGCTTAACTCCATTGTCTTACCCACAATAGAAATAGTCCCTCCTAGATTCTGGAACTTTTTACAAATTGTATTCATGTCTTAGTCTATGTAATTGACTGAGTGGTGTCAGGAATCCTGATTTGTGAAATTTAACCATTTCCTCAAAAATGTAAATAGTCATCAAAAATGTGTGATGAGGTCAACTGGAGCCCTGGAAATTCACAGTGGCATGAACATATCATGTGATATAGAGGAGAAAGTTTATCTTGCTACTGACTTTCGTGGAAAATTAAAGGTTTGCCAAACAGTCTGCCATAATTGCCAATTAGTCTGCCTACCTCTAGTCAAATTGCTTTATATCTAATTATAAAATTAACCTTATTATATCCCAATGATATGGCAGGTTGTTTGGCATTACTAAAAAATTGATCTGTGGATTCATTGTTGATAAATTACATATTTCACTGCAGGTGAATTTTTTGTTACTCAAATACTTTAAGAGTTTAGTGTTTCAAATTAAGTCAAATTTTAGCTTGAAAATGCAAAATTTCTTTTAGGCCATTGGCCAACCTTTTTATCAGTTTTTGCTTTAAAATAATGTGCTTCTGGATCATAGGTCTTCAAATGAATTTTGCTTGTTATCATGTTGTGAAATGAGATCAAAAAAGCTGATTGTGTTTGCATCAAATCATGAATAGTTTGATGTAAGTGTGGCAGTCTGCCATATTTTCTTCCCCTCTCTTCTTGTTAGACTTTTTTTTGTCTCCCAGTTTATTGAGTAAACTTGTTTGGACCAACTTTAGGGTAGACCTCCTGCCTTGGAAGGACTGGTCTGATGGGTAGGAGAGGCAGCCTGGGGATATGAAGAAGGAATGAACTACCTTTATGGCTGGAGAGTCAGAACACTTTGGACATAGATTGCAAAGTTGAAGGAAGGAGTCATTAAGAAGATCTTTGAAGCCTGCGATTCAGTGAGAAATAGCTTTTGAGATCTGAGCATAGGAAAACCAGATAAGAGTAACTGACTTTCTCGTGAACTCACTGTACATTGCTCTCTATGGAAGAAAAGTTTTTTTCAGTTTGTTTTGTTAGATTTAGTCATAGCACATAGACTAGTTTTAAGATAGTATTAATACCCTGTGTAAGATTTTATGTATTAAGTTTGTGTGCATTAGCTGTCTTTGTGTTTGTGTAGAAATTTGTTTACTGGTAGTCTAGCATGTGTCAGGCTGAGTATTGTCATGCAGAGTTTTGGGCTGGTATATTGTGGTACTGTGGAATTTGGTGTACATTATTTTTCTTTTTGTAGGTTAAATTGTTATTTTTTGTTAACGAGTATTTTACATTATTTTTTCCATGACCCAAATGAAAAACAAAATTTTCACAGCTCACATAAGTCCTGTATATGTATGTAATATCGTATTAACTATATAACTTTTTGTCATCTTTTGCCACATGAAGATTTGTGTCACATACATGCAGGCAAGGGATCTGATTAGTGAGTAGCTAAATGTGCAAATAAAACAGAAATAAAAATGTTTTTTAATATGTTATTTAACTTATCATGGTAATAAGTGAAATAACTTATTTGCCAAATAACACATTGCCAACTTTCATCTTCAGATTATCTCTACCTGTCACCATGATTTGTGGTTTATAGTATTTATAGCAAATATGTTACTTCAAAAATAAAAATGTGTTATGATAGACCAAACATAGTCTTTCATGGGATAATATCATTTTCAACTTTCATTTGTGTTAGTAATATTTCAGCATTTCAATCAAGACCAAAATCTATCTAAGGCAGAACACAAACTCAGATAAATCTGAAAGATTTATCAAATAAATCTTTCAGATAAATCTGAAAGATTTATTTGAGTTTGTGTTCTGCCTTAGGACAATGCTTTACAAAATGTCAAAAGCACTTGCAGATGTAGCAATATTATTTATCTGTAATTAATGCCTTTGTGAAGTGTTATAGTCTCCTCAGCACTATTTCATAGCACTCCTGCAATGTTGTCATATCCTAGTGTACCACAGCACATTGGTTGAAAACTACTGCCTTATCCTATAACATACAATTACGTAAAAATCCAAGGATTACTCATATGTATAAAAAATACTATAGTGATAATGATGTTAATGTGAAAAAAAAATGCTATTCTACTATGAACACCTGAAACTAGTTCATAGTTATTATCTATAGTAAGTCTTTTTTGGCTATGTAGCAATTCACTCAACCTTTCTTGTATTAAATACTGTTGATAATATAGAAATCATCAGTGTGAAAGATGAATGTAATGGCAGAATGCAGTTATCTTTTTAAAAACAGCCAAATGATATTTTATTCTATTTTACATTGTAAAGTGGTGTTTTTAATAATACTGAATTTTATATTTTAGGTTCAGAGTAGATTGGAAAATCCAACACAATATCATGTTATCCAAAGTCAGAAACGGCAAGTCCATCAGTATCTTAGTAATACCCATGGAGCAAGTGGTAAGAGTCTTCAAGATTCTGCTGTAGGGAGTAGCCCACAAGTTGTACCTGTATCTCCTATTCAATTGCAAAATAAACAAGAACCAACTCCAAACAGTCCATTATCTGTAGCACCTAGTAGTTCTGCAGCAACTAGTCCATCAGAGGTTAGTCATTGTAATTAAAATAATTATTAATTAGTTTTGTAAAATCTAAAGAAAATTTTTGAATTTTTTTTAAAATCTAGAAATTGATTAAAAATATGAAATCAGAAATGTAAGAAAATAATTACCTCATGTTATATATGAACTAATATACTGTACATACTTCCTCTGAAAAGATTTTTAATGCTTTAGATTTATTAATATTTTCCTTTTTTTTTACTAATGCTTTTGATAGCTACTCTTTTTTATATCCAATCCATGCATTTATGATCTGTTTTTGATTGTAAACTTTATTGCTGCATTATACCTCTGAGAGAGATAGCTGGATCTTCAAATATGAATTTTAAAAAAGTTGTTATTAGTAATGTATTTTATTAATTTTGATCTTTAATTGACTATAATGATGATGATATTTTGTAATTAATAAAACAAATTTTTATAATAAAAACACACCAAAAAAAATCTAAAAAAATGCATTAACCACTTTAATTTCTAATGTTTTTGGTTATATTTTACTGACATTCCTTAGGAGAAATTTACCAACAAACCAAACTGTTTTACATTCAACTAGAATGATAAATTTTAAACATTCCAGAATAAGCAATTTAAATGTTAGTACAGTAGACCCACTATAACGCGGTAGATACGTTCATCGTTATATGAATTTCGCGTTGTAGGAATCCTTAAATACATGACACGCCTGACACGTGTGAAGTTTACGGACTATGGCTGTTTGAAAGGTTTTCTTCTGTAAAATTAATCGATTCTAGACTAATTCGACTCAACATTTCCAAAACACGTATAATTTTTTCGAAAATAATCCGTATTAACTATGCTATAAACAAAAAATTGTAGGATTACTTACCAAGTGTGCACCGTTTGACGTCGCCATTGCTTAAGCTTGTGTTCATCGCAGAGCAGCGATTTCTGATGTTATTTTTCTGCAAAAAATTCGTTGAACTTTGGAGACATCATTAATATAAATAATTTTAATGGCCATTGAAGAAGAAATGTTTCTTTCACAAGAAATGTATAAAATTAGAGTACTGTATTAGACTTACGGTACCTAATTTACATACTGTACAGACGATAGTAAACTCGACTTACTCACCTAAACTTTCCATAGCGTGGAGCTGGGTGGTGGAAAGTATACATATAATTATAATAAAGTTAAAATAAATTAAGTTAATATATAATTATATATACAGTACCTAATTTATATATAATTAATATATAATTATATGTACAGTACCTAATTTATATATAATACTGTACAGACGATAGTAAACTCAACTTAGCCGCCTAAACTCTCTGTAGTGTGGCGCTGGGCGGCAGAAAGTAGTTCAGCTGCTCGTCTGCGATGACATTTTACCGCGTTTTATGGGTTTCTTTTAGCATCTTTATACGAATACCATCACAATTTTTTTGCCACGTTATAGGAATCTACATTATAGGAACCTGCATTATAGGGGGGGTCTACTGTACTGGACTTTATAAATTATGAAAATTATTATTATTTTAATACCATCAACATACCTTATTAAAATTTAAGAGAATTTTTTAACATTATTGCTTATTTGTTAAATCTTATATTGATGTGAGATGTTCAAATTTCATGATATTTGACAAGAAAAATTATTACCAACAATATATGAAAACATGAAACTACAGTAGAGCATCGATTATCCGACTCAATTAGGGACTGGGGTTGGTCGGATAACTGAAAAAACGAATAACCGAAAAGTATGAAAAAATACATTATTATTAGTATATTAGTATACCGCTATTAATCTACTTCGCGTTGAATTTTCATCGATGTTAAGCCTAACAAAATTTTTTTAAAAAATAATAATCGTCACTATTGTATTGTTAAAAATTATTTTATTGCTCACAAAACAAACGACTACTCATAATTAGAAAATTAAGCCTCGTTTAAATACTGGCCGCCTGTTCATGGTTGAGTCAGTGTTGCCAGCTAAAACATGCAACAATTCAGCAAAAATAATATTAAAGTAGCCAAGACAGCCGAATATTGTAGCATCACATCACTAACAGATATTTGAATTTGCCGACTAGAACGCGGTTGGTTAACTGATGTGACGGTTGATCGGAGGTTGGATAATCAATGCTCTACTGTAATAACTCATAACTAATGTTATTTATGAATATTTTTACAAAAATTTATTTTATTTTAAATTTTGCATTTTTAAAATAATAATTTTATCTAGATAATAAAAATATTTTATGGTTTGTATATATTTATTAATAAATATTGGTTATATTTATTCTAAACTTAAAATTGTTGTGATTGTAAAAATTTTTAATATATCTTAGATTCAATTTTTAATCATTGACAAATTTTTAAACAAGTTAATGAATATAATACAAAAATAAAAACTTCAGTAATAAATAAAATATAGTAAGACCCCGCTTAACGCTGCCTCGCCTAACACTGATTTGATATAACACAGTCTGCTTGAAGCCTAAAAAAAAACTCAAAATTTACGCTGATTTAAATTATTGCGGCATTTCATTGATTTGTATATAATAAGATTATTTCCAAACATGAATTAATCGGAAAAAGGTGGCAAAAAGGTGTACATTGCACCAAACAAACAGATTTAAAGAATTTTAGAAAAAAATATAACATCATGGATGCCATAGGCAATAGCAGCTTTGCTTGGCAAGAATTAACTGATAAATGCACGAACAAAGTGTGGAAGAAGTTATGGCTAAAGTTATCCAAGAATTCTCAACAAGAAGAGTCTATTGCTATATCGTTAGGTTGACCAAACAACCTAATTGATACAGCAGGACTAGGAGATGTAGACGAGCAAGATAGTGAAGAGTTACAGCAGGTTTTTCTGGTGAGAGCCTTACCAGTTATGACCTTCAAGAACTGACAGGAGAAGGAATTCATGTAGAACTGGAATATAGAGATTCTGATAACGAAGAATCCAAAGAATTTCTCTACAGATTTCTTTAGTAAAAAGTTTGGTAATGATAACTGAATTCATTAATCAAGTAGCAAATGATCCATGTTTTGAAAGTAGTGCAAAAGCAAAACGAGGTGACCTTCTGCTACTGACATTTGCTTAAGGAAAGAAAAAAGCAACAAATGAAACTTCACGACTTTATTGCAAAAAAAAAAAAAAAGAAAAAACAAGAATTTCAGAGAAGTCAGTACCTTCATCACAAAAAATATACTTTACATTTCTGTGTGCATATGTTTGTGTGTTCTTTAACATATATTATTATACAAATTAATATAAAAATAACTTAAAATTAAAGTAAAATTTGTTTATTTTTAGTTGCGTGTTCCCCTGTCCCTATTTACTCTATGTTAAAATGACCTCATTTAACACTGTTTCGTTTAGCGCTTTGTCGTCTAGGAACGCATCTCCCGCGTTAAGCGGAATCTTACTGTACATATATTATGAGTGAAAACACCACTCAGTAGACTGGAATGATGTAATAAACACTTTTATCAAAAGACTTAAATTATATTCCAGTAAGATTTAATTTAAAAAAAAAGTTTTTTAACTAATGTTTTCAGTCTTAATTGGAGATCATCTTCAGATTTGTATATTCGATGATGAAATGATTAAATCAAAGAATGACATGTTTTGAAAAATTAAGTGAAAGAAATTGTCAAAATATATAAAACAGAAATAAAAGTAACAGTAAATATAAAAGTAAACATTTAAAGACTATGAAACTATAACTAGGAACTTTTCATAATACTGTCCCTACATCATGTATGATTTAAGGACAGTATTACAAAACATGATCATATAATACAAATTAAATAAACCTTACTGGAATACAATTTAAGGCTTTTGATTGAAGTGTTTATACATATATTATGTGTATATATATATAAACTCGTGGGGCTATGCACCAGTTTAACAAATTACAAAGATGATTTTGAATTATGTTATAAAATTGAATTGTTTTCGTTGTCACTGGTTCTGGAAGAGGATGATGTTCTTGCAATTGGTTCAGGCACTGTGCTGTAGTTGCTTATAAGTACACTAGACAGTAGGTTACATATGTTTGTACAATGTTCTGCTCATATTGAAATTGCTTTGTGGACCATAATCTGTTGGACATGGTCTATGAAAGAATCTAAAATACTTATGTGGTCCAATTCTATGAAGATAGATGTTTACCAAAAAAAATAGAAGATCTTTGTTTATGGCACATGTGATAATTCAACAACCTTTTCAAAGTAGAGAATGTAGAAGTCATCCATGATGAAAATGCCAAGTGCAGTTTGGTGAAGAATGCCAATGACAGTGAGTGATTGAAATTACATCTCCAGTTGGAGCATCCAGACACTGACCTACTCCTGCACATTTGCTATGGTAACTTGCTGGATAAAATTTCAAAATTTAATGATAATGCATCAATGTGTTAGATGTGTATAGTACAAGTAGACAAAAAGCACCTATTTCCAAGTGATCATCATCATGTGTTGCAGTTGTGAATATGATACATTGGACAGGATGTTTAGGTCTATGTCAGTTCAATCTCTTGGCAGTAATAATTATTTTTGTTACATTTATCAATGACATAGCTTATATATTGTGATATCCTACATTTATCATAAGAACAATGTGTTGCTCTTGTAATTCAAACAATATTACATGTGTACAGAAGCTATTATTGATGAAAGAGTTAAGAAATGTCTGACAACAGTTGAGAATAAATGAATGAGACTTTGATGCTAACATGCACAAAGATGTCAACAAAGGAAGTCATGTAAATTATGGATTTACAGATAACCCTCTAAAACTACAGAATGATCTTTTATATTTTTGAATAAGAATGCTAATGCTAACTAACACTTACATGTGTTCAACAATACATGTAGGTGTTAGTACTTGTTCTGCATATAATCATCAGTATGCCAAATCTTAAATCAATTGGCACATCCACATCAATAACATGGAATGTACTGTACAGACAGTAAGTATCAGTACATCCAGTTTGTAAGTGAC